AATTCCAAAGAAACTAAAAATTAATTTCAAATGGGTCACCTGCACAAGTTTTCTTTGCCGAGTGATAGTTCGAGAGTTGCAGCTTGAATTTTGAATATCTGGTGCAAGGTTAATGTCGATTAGAAGATGATGAAATCAAAGTAAGATAATTATTCCGATGTTTAGAGACTTACCTTGAAAATTCTAGATTGCTTGTGAATATTTTTTGCAGCCGTGAGAGAGTTTCAGCCGAGATAGTGAATTTTGGAGGTGGAATGAATGTTTTTAGGTTTGACAATAGTGAGCCCTACAAACATATACTCCAGAATTTGGACAATCGATTGGGCTGATAATGGAATTAAACTTGGGCCAAAAAGAATATTGGACCAAGAGTAATTTTAAATAGAAAAATTTGACCCGTTAAGGAAATATTGAATTTTTAAGATTAAAAATCGTTTTGAATTCTTATATTAAATGTTTTGCTAGCCGACCCGACGGACGTAAAATAATTTCCAAAATTTAACGGAGATGTCGTAGCGAAACAACTTAAATAATAAAATTTACAATTGNCTAGACAACTCGACGGAACGTAAAAATAAATTCTAAATTTTGACGGGAATGTCGTAGCGACATAACTGAAGTTATAAAATATGCATTTTAAAATTTGGGTCACTACAACAGATGTGGTTTGTCCAGCACTAGAGTTTAAGGATTTGTCTTTGTCTTTTGCTTTTATTTTTATTTTTGCTTACACTTATATTTTTTTGTAAGGGAATAGTACTCCTTTTTTTGCTGCTTTACTATTATTCTTTAATTTCATTGTAAGGGAAGTAGTACTTCCTCATTTATTATTAATGTTATTGATTTTATTTGTAACCACGGTATTTCTCCACCTCAAATGAGAACATATTAATAAAATCTTGGAGGTACCTCACTCCTTCAAAAAAAAAAAAAAAGGTAAAGTGACAAGCACATATAAAACGAAATTGATTTATCATTTGTAACAATTATCCATATCACGATTTCTATCCCCGATTTATTGAACATAAACTAATAATACGAACTTGATCCTGTAACTTCATTCAAAAATGAAACTCTTTTGAATTTTTATTTTTAAATAAAATTATTATGGAACACAATTGAAAAATAATTTTACTTTAATCATTTCTTCGATTTTTGAATTGTATCTAATTAATTTTCGAGGTTAGATTGAACAATGACCTTATAAAACTTTTTTAGAACGGGTTGATGAATAATTAAAGGAGAAAAAAATATATGATCGCCCCAAAGAGCGGGGTCATCCCTCCACTTTAACGATTGACTTTACACTTGTGCTCTACTTACTCAAATCCCTAAGTATTTTATTAGAAAATCACGAGGTAAGGAAAATATAAATAGTTTGTCAAAGAAAATCTTCAAACTATTATAAAATGGAATCGAAAAAAAATTATTTATGTAATTTAATTTAAATTTATTGAATTATTTACGGCGAGAACTAATGAGCTATTTAATCACATTCACCTCTCCAACTTTTGTCTCACAATGTCTAGTGTTGGCCCAACATAGCACTTTTGTCATTGGCGTTCTTTCCAATCTTTACGCATTTCACCGTTAAAAAAATAATAATAATAAATAATAAAAAAAAAAAAACTCCTCTAGCTGAGTAGTTTTCACCGTCTATTCAAGATTGAGTTCTGAAATTCGACAATGGACTAAAAAGCCACCTACAAACTTTATATCCAGAGAATCATAAAAGAGAAATATGGAGACTATAATTCTCAATTTTAGCCCCCGTTTGGTGGGAGTTAAAATCAAATTTTTAGAAAAATAATATTAATTCTTGCCAAACATGGAATTAGTTGACGATAAACGCGTGGCCTCCAAGTTATAAAAGGTTAAAATATGTAACATGGCATAAAAGGTTAAAATATGTAACACGGCACGTGTCTACTAAAACACCCCAAATTTTAAAGAAAGGAAAAAACTAAGCCAACGAGTACAAAAACACGGCTCTAAATAAGTCAAAACATATAAAATGTTTCGCTTTCATTAACAAACTAACCTGAGCTAGCAAGAAGAAAAAAGAAGGAATGATGGGATGCTAAAGAGATGGTTATGGCTATGAGACTAGTGCAATCAAGTAATCGACCAATGCACTATTTTATATTTGATAGACCGAAATTAGACAATAAAAGGAACTATGAATAAATATAGAATAGATGTACTAGTAGATTGAGGATAGTATTTTTAATTTTTTATTCAAACCAATATTATTTGCATCGACATTTAAACGGAATGAGAAGGTAAGCTTAAAACCAAATAAGAAAAATAGTGTACGTTACATTATTTTGAATGAAAACTTATAAACACTATCTACCAGTTGTTATACTTTTTAATCCATATGCCAGTTGTATCCTTAATGTTTATTAAATTTGCAGTATGACTATCAACAATTATTGAACAAATTTGGGACATAGTGGACGGTAAAATAAACATAATAAAATCTTTACACAGATCAGATAATTTAACACTACAAGTCCAAGAGAACTCCACAATGAAAAATAAATTCTGCTGATATCGTACCAAATATGCATTTTTATTTAACATTGGCATTGCACCAAAACTAAACAACAATTTGTCTATGTTCTCTTTCTTTATTGACATAATATCCCATATCATATTTTTTTGAAATCAAAATTTACAGATAACTTCAAAAATGTAACAATTCAAATACCAAAGAATACATCATTAAATGAATGCAAATAAACATATTCTCCAATCAGCTGTAAGCACATAAAAAAAAAATGCCAAGGTTAAGCACATAATTTTGTTCAAATGCTGTATTAATTTTCAAAAATTAGGCACATGAATCAAGTGCATCACAAGACCTATGATTTCAGAAAATAAATTCAATTTGAAATTTCTGAATCAGTCCAGTTAATGACCGCCTTTCATCATCGAGAAGTTCTCATTCCACGTATAAAACAGTTACCTCGTTCAGAAGCCGAGCATTATATATTCATCGTCTATTATCTGAAAGGGAAAAATGACCGCATGTCTTCTTGACCTCTGATTTTTAACAAACCCCCTTGGAATGCTGAAAATACAATATGAACAGCTTGCCAGTGCATTATCCATGTTCTTAATTTCAATGCATATCTGTGAATTCTCCACTGACGATGGCAGCACACAAAGCCTTCCAAATGGGTATTAACATTGTAATTGGAGGACGTAATTCCTGGAAACAAAGCCAAGCAGTATAATATGACGGTAAGGAACGTGAGAATTAATGAAAACTATAGCATTATCTTGTTTTAGATTTAATTTGGCATAAAATAACATATACAATGTTTATTTTGAACTTCTATACTTTACTTTGCCAAAACGTTTAAACTTGGAACGTCCTTACCTTGAAAACTAGTAAGAGATCTTCTTCTTCACGTATAATAAGAGACAAACTCCAGTAACAAGTAACTGGGGTCACACATTCATTTAAGACAGGTTTCATGATCTTGCTGATGGGAACAAAGTGGCGAACTGTCCTCCCACTGATTTGTAGAAGGCAATAAAAAATACTCTGATTAGCGTGGTATGAAATAAAAACCCAACTCAGTCATGATATCTATAGTTAAACAAATAGAACATGGATAACAATTCAGGGAGGAAAAAGAAAGACAAACAATTTAATTTTCCTTCTTGACCAAAAAAACTGGCTGGAGGTCTTAATGAATACTTCGTAAAGAGATCCACTCTAAGAATAATAGACCTTATTTTCCCAATCTCAATTTACAATAGTAAAGAACTTGAGGTCAATAGTGGATACTTTAATCCTAGGGACAACCAAATAGCACGTCACGCTGTGGATTGGTCTTTACAAAGAACAAAGAAGACTATCTTATAATATACTCTTACTGACAACATAATACATTAAAGAGCTCCCCCAACTCATCCACACCCAAAATAAAATTGCAATGTAGAAAAAAATTAAAGCTCAAATGATTTCAAGTAATTATTACAAGCATCGATGTATAAGAATAAAAGAATGATGTTGTTATAAAAATTACAAGGGTACCTTCTATAAGTAGTTTCAAGCTGAACTCCAAAGGAAGGCAAAATTGTAACTGACTCTGTTACACAAAAACATGTAACACAAGATTGAGAAAATAGATGCCACTGCCTTCCCCATCTTTTCTGAGAGAAAGCACTGCTTGAATAGCACATAAGATTGCATTACACAAATAAACAATTGTACTCGGTGCACTTCTAAAGGGCATAATGATAAAAATATTGCATGCCAATTAAGATTCAAACACTTGGATAGCAGGGAATGGGGCAAATAACTCTACTTTGGTAAAGACCAATCATCCTACAGTCCCTAAGCTACACAAAATATATCATTTTGTCGCTGATGTTCAAATTTTACAAGATTGCCCCTCGAGTTGTAATCTGAATTCAAATTGGTCCAAGTTGTAAGTTGTAACTTGCAGTTAATTTTATTGAGGCAAAAAACCACTGAAAATCCTCGAAATTAACATGTTTAACTTTGGATTTCGATTTTTCAGTTGAGAAAATTAAATTATCAGTCAATTACAAATTGGACCAACTTGCTACCAAGTTGAAACACAAGGGGTCACAGTGTTGAAATAGGAATATCAGGAACAAATTAGAACATCGTGGAAACTTAGTTAACTACAGATGTGATTAACCTTCATAGTTCCAAAATTCTAATAATCTGAAAAGTGAATTTATGGGGGTATATTTCTGAGGTTAATATATTATCCAAACGTTTAAATTAAATAAAATTCATTGGTGGTTACTGTAAATTCCAGGTGATATCAGCAGTCCATTCCCACAATTAATTTATATGACCAATTATGCGGAAAAAACAACTAAAAATGCTCAACGATTAAATAAGGTCTTAACTCTTACATCGAAGTAGAGGATCAACATTTACTTAAATCAAATCTTTGTAAATTCACATATTTCCAGGACAAAATCCTGCAATTCCTAGATCCTCACCTTTCTCAACGTGTTTCCCTTGCCATGATTTCACAAGGAATACCGCTAAAGAAAAGCTAAAAAGAACAGCCATTGACATGTCCTGCAATCATGATAGGCACCTGTCATGTTTTGACAAAATAATTACAAAATAGTAAAGATCTAGAGACGAACTACAGTTTTGACCTCCCTCCATAAAAAGTTAAAAGGAAAAATGTATAAAACCTCAGAATTTATCTTTAGGCAGTTATATAAAAAAAGAAACATCCAGAAAACGTGTGCATATTCATTAAAGTGTCAGTGGTTGAGATAAACATCAATTTTCCCTTTCCTTTCTTGTTCCTTGTTTTAGTTTCTTGTATTTAAGCATCTTTAATTATGCAAACTAATTATGAAGAAGCAAATGTGGCTATCGAATCATAAAAATACAGGAATTTATTCGTAGAAGACAAAAGGGGATATTTTTCAATAGATAAGAAAGTCAATAAATCTCTGTCATATGCCAAACGGACTAGTTGTGCAGCATTGAGAAGACTAGAAACTTAATTCCCCGAAAAAAAAAAAAGGGTGATACCAATAACTCAGCAAGACAATTGAAATTATAACAATGTAACACAAAATCAGGAAGCACGAGTAAGCACTACTGATATATGAATTCATATAAACATACCTGTGGGAGAAGGAGAAAGCAGAAAGTGGCTGAAAGCAGAATAAAAACGTAGAAAATGTAACTTGACGCATTGCTTCTTGAAATGATGATATGGTGAATGTCAATTGCATCAGGTGGGCCCTTATTTGTATCATTTATATATGTGCATTGTCCTTCCGAAATGGTAGCTATTGGCTCCACCATCTTAGACTACATCAAAACTGGGAAAGGACTTGTAATGAGTTTTATCTCCAGTTACCTCTCTTCATTCATCAATTATAGACTATTCCCAATAAATAAACTAGCAACATATTTAGGAAGGATCGAAAGTCGAAACAATCCAGAATATTTCTCAACTAACATAAATGCTATTAAAAAAATTGAGGCCAAACTTGATTAATTTCATCATTAGATTTTGTATTTGTTGTATTCACCAATGATAATAAGTGTGGTATACTTAGTGTGGTATACTTAGTCATATTCAAATATGATAATAAGTTACTATTAGCAAATAAACTTTGAATGGTAAATATCAAAATGTTGAATTTGTTAAGCAAATACAACACAACATTTTAAAATTAATTACTATGTATTATAATAATACTAATTCAGTTTGACGATGAATTTGGTTTTTCCAGATTCATCTTTCAAAGATATTCAGGGTTTTCAATTTGCTTGTTAAACTCTATCTTAAGTAATGACAACTTACCTTTTAACATGAAATGACTTTAGTACAAGATAATGGGAAAATCAGAAGTTATTTTATCTTCCTCTTGTACTATTGCAAAATCAGGTACAGCCAGTAAAACTCTTAATACCATTGCAGATTCTAATTCCAACATTTGGATCAACAATTCACGAGCCAGTGATCAGAGGGCTAAAGAATCCAATTTTCACCATACCATATGTACCCTCTCTGTAAACAAAAAAGTGCAATTTTCTGATGGAACCACTACTCCAGTTTAGTGCCAAGGAAATGAACCCTTACTTTCACATTACAATAGGACATGTTCCGAAAATGTCATCTAATCTTACTCAAAATAATTTGAGCAACTTTTTTCCCTAAATCGCTGTGCATTTCAGAACATCACTTCAAGAAAGATGATTGACAGCAATAAGAAGAGAAATCTCAATTGCTATATAGATACTGAGAAAAGAAGAAAACCCCGGGATACCAAATAAAGGGAACTACAGAAAAAGGAGCCATATAATAGTAGAGGCTAGCACATTAAAGATTAGGGCATCCAAATTTCTTCTACTTACAACGTTTATATCCTTAAACTTGAGTGAACCTAGATCATTCTGTGCTCAACTATGAAGTTTGTGAATTAGCTAAAAATTGCCATGTTCGTATCTTTTAAGTAACGCTAGAAGTGAAGTGAAATTCCATTCTCTGTTATCATGAAAGTGTAATATTAGGGGGTAAATCTTCAAATGCTTTCTATAGACTAGAATCATAAGTTGGCAATTATAGGAATATTGGTCATAAAGAAAGATATCCATTACTTGTTGGCATTAGATATATATATCTCTCACAAGACTAGACATTGCACACATCATCAATGTTGTCTTTCTACTTATGCAAGCATCATCAAAAGAATGCTTGGAAGTTTGTATAAGGATAGCAAGGTTCCTCAAGGGTAATCCATGCATGGGATTGCTATTCTATAAAGGCAATCACAACAATCACATGCAAATAGAAGCTTATAATGATGCGCAATATACATGGTCAACAACCTAAACAAGTTACATATAGCATACCTTTTCAAAAGGCAACCTAGAATCTTGGAGGAGTATAGACAACATTAGGTTTCTAGGTCAAACTTTGAGGCTGATTTCCATATTTGAACTTAGGTATCTATAATTTAGAACAAATCTATACTAAAAGAATTACAAGTAGAGGTCGAAGGGCTTATGAGGTTGTATTGGATGCAACAAAACTGTGATAAGCATTGCAAAGCCAAGCATATTTGGTTGACTGATATTTCACCAGAGTAAATATCAACAGCAATCTTATTTGTACTCCCTTTGTTTTATCTAAAGTGCAGCTAGCTGATGTTTTCACTAAAGGTGTTTAACATCTCCGAACCACGAGGTTTAGAAAATTGACAAATTTCTTAATATTAAGATCATTTTGATTTCCTAAGATTTTTAGTCAATATTAGTCGTACATATTAGGCCCATGTTTGGTAGAAATTAAAATTTGATTTTAATCTAAGTCAAAGTCAACAATTAATTTTAACCACATATTTTATGGTTCCCACAACTTTTCAACCACACAATTCATCAACTTTTATCAAAATCGGCTAAAAATCTAATTTTAATCCCCACCAAACAGGGGATAGGACAATAGTATTTTAAGATTTAACTTGTTGATGTCTTGTATAAATATGTCTAATTTTTTCAGATTAATACAACACACTGTTTCTAGAAATTAATCTTTTATGTGAAGATAGTGAACATATTTGCTCGTGTAAAGGAATGAACGGCAATGGCAATGGCAATGCTCAGGTTTCAAATGTAAATCCTCAGACTTGTTACTTAAGCAAGAAAAAGGCATCTGGATCCTAAGAAATGTTAGACATTATTGCACATTCTATTAGGAATCAGCTCTTATTCAAGAAATAAAAAACAGTATAACTTAAAAAAGGTAAGATGTCTGGAAAAGAGAAGATTTTGCTTCTATATGATTTCACTAATTAACTTTATTCCATATGAATGACGAATCACATGAAATGGTGGTTTTGAGATCCCCATTTAGCTCTTATATATCTAATCATAACATTGATACTCTTCCTCTTGGTCTAAGTCTCAGTTGGCAAATAAAGAGACTGTTTTGTGATAGTAGATTTTATGAATCTCAAGGTAGAAGCTCACTACAGCCTAAACACAAAATCTTTGAGAAAACACAGTATTATGCACAATTCAAAATTATGGTTTCCAAGATTTCACAACCAGAAGTGGGTGATCACAAAACTAAATAAATTACTAACAAAATTTTGATTGCTGATAATAAAATGAGTAAATTATAAACAAGTAAAGTTTAATTTGTCAATGGCAAATAAAAAGCAGAGTATGAAACCGTTACCACATCAATTACCAGTGAATTCATCAGAAAACCCAAAATAAGCAATTCATATAATCAATCACCAGGAAATTAAACCTTCAAATAATTTGTGGTCCCATAACTACAAAGACGGAAAATTCAACATGACGGGAGTGGGAGATGGTGGGCAAGTACCTGTTAGAGCGGGAGAGTATTTTGGGGATTGAATTTTAATTTAGCCGCCCAGATTCTCTTGGTAATTCCACGTTCGTCACAAGGGTATCACTGATCAACTACAAGTGTTGTTAATTTTGTTAGAACAAATAATCAAATATCGAATTTTTCTTTCAAAAATTATAAAAATTAGGGTTAAACTTTCAGTGAAATTTTAATTGGGTCATTCAACTAATAATTTATTTCAATTCAATCATTGAACTTCAATGTTTATGACTCCGGCACCCATTAGTAAATTTAACTTCTCAATCCTACGTGAATGTTAGAAATGGAACATAATTTTGACTTATCTTGCGTTTATAAATAAATAAATAAATATTACACCTAATCAAATCATAGCTGTAAAATTTAATAAATAAATAATCATATGCTAGATAGTATACATTTTTGAGAAGTGCTACATGTACGTAAATCTATACATAATGGTGTCCATAATTACACGTGGGATTGGATCCAACCATTAATTCAAATCTCACACTTTCACATCAACAACAGGATTTTGTCCACATCACATTATGGACACTATTATATACACATATTATGTACATGTAGACTTTTCCCACATTTTTTAATTTTTTAGTCACGACTTGATTATGTTGCATATTTACTTGAAAATATTACGTTTTAACGTTCATGGAGTACTAAGACGTAAAGTTTAATAACATTAGGAGGCACATTTTCACTCGAGCAAGGGCAAGACTTGAGCACGGAAAAAATATTTCAACCAAAACAATAACACGGTACTATAAAAGCCCCTGTTTGTTTGGCATTTTAAGGAGAATTTTTACCGTTGCTTAGGGGTATCAGCCGCAATATTTAACTACTTTGTCTTAGGGTGAGACCCACTTTTTTGGAAAAAAAAAAAAGGTCAAAAAAATCATTTTCATGTTAAAATAATGTGAAACAAACATGATGAAAATGAAACACTTTTTTACAATGTTGTCTACATGTTCTCATTCTCTGAAAACTCCATATATGGTCTCATTATCAATCTTATCAAGAGCGTTGCAACATTTCATAAAAAATGTGGTGGGAGTCTACAAAGTTACGATGTGAGAAGAACAAAACTAGAGTGATTGGCATGGATGAAACAAGATTACGAGATATACCACAGTAAAAGAGAATCGATATCACTAATTAACAGCTATTGAAAAATTAGTAAAATAAGAGTTAAAGAATACATATATTTGATAAAGATGTACCATCAAAAGAAAAAAAAAAATCCATCTAGTAGTTTTTACTTTTCATGTTGCACCAAATCCATCTTGCATATTCTTAATGAACATATAACAAAACTGGATGAAGATATGCATGAATTATGTACACCAACTAGTAGATGAGCCTAATTCAATAAAGCATACAATGCGCAATAAGTTTGCTTTTGGAATTTGGAATTGATAAAGAACTGCAAACTGTAGACATAAATATTAATCTTTTCCAAATTTCAGTTTAACGTAAATTCAATTTCATCCGGACAAGGGTAATGCAAGTTCACTTTGTATTAGAATTCAAAATCTTTATACGTTCAATCATTGTGGTCAACTTTTTCAATTCTTCCACAAAATCAAGGTCGGCCCTAGCCCAAGGCAAACTAAGCCGGTGCCTAGGACCTCATGATTTTGAAGCGCCTCACAAAAAAAAAAATGGTTATTCCCAGAACCAGTCCCAATACCCACCAAATCCCTTAAAAAACCAATTGTTTTCCCTTAAGGTTAGAGGAACTGGAGAAGAAAGTAGAGAAACATAGATTGATTTTTATTGAACGTAAATCACAAATTCCAATCGGTCGCCACCGAAGGAACATAGATTGTCGCAATCAAAGAACAAGTATATAGGTGAAACAATGAAGAAACTCTAATGGCCGTTTGTTGGTCCCAGAGTATAATTTGAATATACAAATTACTTGTAAATTGCAAAAATTAAA